AGTAATGTGATGGATGTCGAGGTTAATTTACAATAAATCCATTAGTAGTCATGGCACTGATGTGTCAGTGATTGTCATACAGAAACATGCATAAATAATAGAGGTGAACACATTACTGTGTTCTTAAGACCTGGAACTGTGATTAAGATGTACAGTTCCTGCACATTGAATTCACTTATATAATATAATAAACCATGTTTCTATAAAAATAAAATTAAAATAATAAAGCTAGATTGCAGTCATTTTATGTAGACTTACTCCTTTATTTAACAAAGTGAATTTTTTTTGCATCTTGCTATAAATCTTACCATGCTAGATGTTTTATGATGATGAACTAATATTCTTTTTCTCATGAAAGCTCCCATGTGATGCAATTTAATATCCTTCTCATTGTCAACTACTAGTGAATGTAAATAATAATATAATGGGTTTATGTGAAAAAAGTGCTAATCCAAGGAATGAAATACTGAAAAGATTAATAAAAACTGGGAGGGAGGAAAGTCATTTCTTCAAAGGCATTTGGCTTTCACACAACTTTGAAATGAATCAAACTTTTCTAAGACATATTAAAATAAAACAACAATGTTGCAGTGTTTGTTATTTTTTGTATGTTTTCCATTATTTTATAGTTTTAACACACACACACACAAACACACACAAACACACCACCTGTTCTCTGTAAAACTTACTGGGCACTTACCATATGCCAGGAATTGGACTATGGCGTGACTGTGTGATACCCATCGAATTTTGACAGAAGCTCTATGAGGTGTATAGTTTTATTTTTTTTTTTAATTTTTTTTTTCAACGTTTATTTATTTTTGGGACAGAGAGAGACAGAGCATGAACGGGGGAGGGGCAGAGAGAGAGGGAGACACAGAATCGGAAACAGGCTCCAGGCTCTGAGCCATCAGCCCAGAGCCTGACGCGGGGCTCGAACCCACGGACCGCGAGATCGTGACCTGGCCGAAGTCGGACGCTCAACCAACTGCGCCACCCAGGCGCCCCGAGGTGTATAGTTTTAATATCCTCATTGTTTACAGACAGAATATCCAAGATTTAGAATAAAAAGCTAGTCAAGGTCAGTGTAGCTAGTAAATGATTCAGCTGGGATTTGAACCCAGGTCTGTTCAGAGCTTACATTCTTTATTTTTTAGTTATCTGCTATAGTAAGGACATTATGTCTCTGGTTCCAAAAGATGCATGCTAAATGAAGTAGATTTTGAAACTTTAGTCGCATGACCCACTATATTTTATTGTAGGAGTGTTCTCACATTTTTAAGGTTACCAGAATAGAGTATAAGGTAATTTTCTATCTTTCTGAAAGGGGGATTTAAGAACATAGGAGATTTTGTAGAGTTTTATAGGAAGTGATTTTTTTTTTTTTTTAAAGAAAACCAAGATGCTTATACAGGTAGGTAGAAGGGAGCTGTGGGTGGGGAGTGGACATATTATCCTCTCTTGATTCTGGAATTATGCTGATGAATACAAGACATTGCACTATCATGCATACAGAAGAGGGAAGAGAGATTGCTTTCCAGATACATCTGGAGACAAAAGATGCTGGAAATAATTGCACTGTTTGGCACAAGGTAGTACAATTGGTTTTACTTTGTTTTGGTGAAACTGAAAGAGCCAGAAATCATTGTAAGGAAGACAGAGTGGTTCATAGAATGCTAGTTGCTAGGTCTTAACACTCACTGAAATATGAGATGAAATCAAATCTTGAGTAATGATATTTGCATTTTGACATTTATCTTCCTGAAAATACAAATCTTTATTATCCTTGCATTCTGTAACTGAGCAACTGGAAACTTTCATAGTTCCATAAGTTTGGGAAGTATACTCTAAACTAAATGTTAATCTACATATATTAAATGTTCTGTCACTTCACATTTACATGTTATTTTTCTTTTTTTGAAAGCCTTGTGAGGTGAAAGGACAGTATATGATCATGAGGTGCAAATGTCACTTTATGGATATGAGACATTAGAATATGATAACAGTCGGCCTTGATAAATTCAGACTGACACATCCAATTAACTTTTTTCTCGACTGTCTTGTTATGATAACAGAAACATTTCTGTCATAAAAAAAATGCAAGAGTAGGAGTCTGGGTACTAGGTTTCCTACCGGCTCTGTCACTTAACTAAGGTTGCAACTTGAGATAACAAATCAATCCTTATGACTAAGTTTCCTCAGATGTAACATGGGGCTAACTGCTTACCCTACTTTCTTCCCCCCCACTTTTTACAAAAGTTTATTTATTTATTTCTGAGAGAGAAAGAGAAAGAGAGAGAGAGAGAGAGAGAGAGAGAGAGAGAGAGAGAATCCCATGCAGGCTCCTTGCTGTCAGTGCAGAGACTGATCAAGGCTTGAACCCATGAACCATGAGATCATGACCTGAGCCAAAATCAAGTCGGATGCTCAACTGATTGAACCACCCAGACGCCCTTACCCTACTTTCCATACAGAAGTACAGAAGACCTGAAAAATTGTTGTGAAAGTGATATTTTTAATATTAAAAATTGCTATGTAATACAAGATATTTTGCTTTCCACCATCACCTTCCTCTGGTGATTCTGGAAGACACCTGAATTTTTAGATATGATTTACATTGTTATGCAGCATCTCTAGTTTTGAATATTTGTCTTAATTCATAGAAACTACATAGTCACTAGAGAACAAAATTAATTAAAAGGAGGAAAATAAAATTGAGTACCTGTACTCAGAGGTCACCACGACATTCTCCTGTTAAAGAAACCTTCACTTTAATGTGTTCTTGTCCCATTTTTATCAATGTGGGCATTGTTGAACCATTCAATAGTTAGTTAATCATCTACAAAAATTACCAAGCTGAAGAATATTTATCAAATGATTCTTGCGTATTAATATACTGAGTAACAAGCTTCTGATGATATAGAACATAAATGGTCCTGGAGGCTCCAACATTTCTGATACACGAATCTGTATATTCTGAATGTTCTTTACTTGCACACTGCCTGGTTCCTTTGAAGTATAACTTACCTATTTCCACATGAGAGAGATAAACTACTTTCATGCATTAGTATCCAAAAAAATTAATAGAGAATACACAGCTTCTCTACCATTGCATTCTAACAAGATTCTATTTTATCACTTTTACATTCAGTATTATTCTGACATGTTTCTTGTGTCACGTCTACATACCGAGGCCTTTTTTTTTTTATTGATTTGTTTTGAGAAAGAGAGCACAATCATGGGAGCAACAAAGAGACAGGGGGAGGGCGATAATTCCAAGCGTGTTCCACACTGTCAGTAAAGAGCTCAACGTGGGCTCAAACTCAAGAACCGTGAGATCATGACCTGAGTTGAAATCAGGAGTCAGACCCTTAACCAACTAAGCCACCCAGGTATCCCTACATACCAAGTCCCTTTTAACCAGTCAAGCAGGAGGCATATTGCAGAGGACTTTGGAAATGTTTCACACAGAATACATACTGCTGTACCAACACCATACAAGCCTCACTCTTGGTAGAAGCTTTTTTTCTATAAACACAAGATATTTTGTGGCCTAAATTTTTTAAATGTTTATTTATTTTGAGAGAGAGAGCACATGCACAAGCAAGGGATGGAGAGAGAGAGAGGGAGAGAGAGGACCCAAGGATCCTGTGTCATCAGCACAAAGCTCAACACGGGGCTTAATCCCACAAACCACAAGCCCATGACATGAGCTGAAATCAAGAGTCAGACACTTAACCGACTGAGGCACTGAGGCACCCTTGGCCTAAATTTTAATATTCACTCTTACCATTTTCTTTACCACGTTTGACACATAGTGGGAACACAAGTATTGGTATCCTTTATTACTGTAAGCCTCTAAATTTATTTTACCCCAGTGGCTCTTCCTGGGATAACTATGCAAATATTTCTGTTGTCCTTTTTAGTATGGACAAACTTTACTTTTAGTAAAGTCTTTTCTTGTGTGTGTGTGTGTGTGTGTGTGTGTGTGTGTGTGTGTGCATATGTGTTCATATCTATATATCTGTATGTATCTATATCTATATCTTTGCATGTCTCTTTGCATGTCTCTTCCAAATGTTCTGACTTAAAGATTCCATTGTATTGCATTCAGTGAGATAGATTTCATTGTGGTATAATGAGATAGGACTTCAGTGCATTGGATGCTTAGTGTAAACTTGTTTGAAATGAAAATCTTTTAAAGTAAGATGGATAATTTAATGACATCAGCACCATAAAGTAAAAATTGAACACTCACCAAATGAGGCTATAATATTCTTACTACTGTAAGACAAGCATTCACTTTTGAAGAAAAAAAAATGAGTCTTTTTATGATGCTGGATAGTTTGACAGCTACTAGATATTGCTTGTTAAATAAGATCTTGCTTCTATTGATGAGCTCTATTATCTGTATTTTCCTGACATGACTCCTGGGGCTTATGACTGTTTATCCATTAGTTATCTGTCATATGTGAATAGACCCTTTCCCCATAAGAGTTGATTCGTAGTATATTTGTTGTGATTTGCTTCACTGTGCTGTAAGACCCTGTCACATGCACATGCAACTCTTGTTTCAAAAACAAAAACGAGTTGATACATGTTTCTGCTCCTTTTGGAAGCGGCCAGTCAGTGTTTCCTACTAAAACATTTCTGAAAAACTGGCAGGGAGAAATAAAACCCCATTAGATTCCATGCTTGTCCAACTCACTGGAAAAAGTAGTAATCTCCCATTTGTTCTGGAACACCTGCTGGTAGGTTTAATGAGTGTATTAAAAACTGAGCTGCCTTGATATTTCTTTTAAAAAATCTTCTATTGTCTCTCTTGAGCCTGTTTGATTGAAATCTGTGATTTGCTTACTTTTTATGCTATAGTTTCATTTTTTTTTTCATTTTTGCCTCGGTATAAATTTAATCCTTTACGGATATGTCAATGTAACAAACATAGGAAAATTGTACACCTGATATATTTGGACTAATTGGTTTTGGTTTTTGTTTTCCAGCTGGGACAACATATATCTTTAGCAAAGGTGGTGGACAAATCACATATAAGTGGCCTCCTAATGACCGGCCAAGTACACGAGCAGACAGACTGGCCATAGGGTTTAGCACTGTTCAAAAAGAAGCTGTATTGGTGCGAGTGGACAGTTCTTCTGGCCTGGGTGACTACCTAGAGCTTCATATAGTAAGTACTTTAAAAATATTTAACTTTTGTCTTTACTATTAGTTTTTTTTTTTAATAACTTATACTTTTTCTTTTGGAAGTTTCTCTTCCACAGCAACCAGTACTTTGGTACAGAAAATATAAATACAATCTAGAAGTAATAAGACCTTATTCCTGCTATTGTTGCTAAAAATGTTCTTTACAATAGAAAATATATTTTTTTGGTTGTTAAGTGTGAATTCTTCTCAGTTCTCTGTTTACAAAGATTTATTTTGGTATGTTCTTATTGACTTTAAGCAGATTTTCCAACTTAATAAACTAAGTTATTGCCCAGTTGATACTGCTACATCTGACTGGAAGCAGGAGGTTGTAATACTGGTAACATCAAAAGATCTGAATCGGGTGTCCTTAGTTCTTTCCTCACTCTAGAATTACAGTGAATTACAGTGACTAGATTGTTTCTGTGCCTTCTTATATTCATTTTGATACATAAATATCAAGAAAGTACAGTAAGCTCTTACCATTAATATCCTGGAACCCTTGACCATTCCTTTTTCTCCAAGCTCTAAGTCTACTGTAAGAATTTAGTCAGTATATCATAGATGGAAAATAATAGGTCATGAATAGAAAGCTATTTTTTTAAACTTTTGCCTTAACTGATTTATAGCTTGAAGACTCTGCCATATATTTCTGCATTCAGAGTTACTAATGTGTATAGTTGTAATTCTTTATCTTCTTGTTTTATTAAAATATTTGCAAAGTACAGGTAATCTCTTATTGCTAAGAGATATCAATATTTTACTGATGTACAAAAGTCACAACCATAAGAAAGGGTCAACTATTAAACTCTAAAGGGTTATTATCATCATAGTTCTTACTTGAAAATCTGTATCTTCTGGAAGGTTCCAAACATATATAAGTCTTTCCATTTCCCTTTATATCTGTGAGGCATAGTTTATCTTTTCTGTCTCATGTGATTGTGTAAATTTGTTTTGTTTTGCTTTTGTCCATCCCTATAGGTTCTTCTTTTACTAGCACCCATGCCTCAGAGGACAGTTTGATTAGGTCAACAGATTCTTTCCTCTTGGACACTGGCTTTCAGGCACTCATCCTAAAACAATTAGGAAAGCCACCAAACACATACAGGAGGAAAATACAGTATCACAGACTTTTGCAGGGGCTTAATTTTCAGTTTTATTCATTTATTTTCTTCATCTTAGTTTTCCATTAGACTTCTATGATTTCAAATAAGCTCAGTAGGGGTTTACCCTGACCACAAGAACTAAATTCATTGCTAATCTTAGAAAGAAGAAAAGAGAAAACACACAACACACACACACACACACACACACACACACCTCAGCACAACCATTATTGAACTGCCATAAATTTTCAATTCAAAATGCAGTTGTCAAATCGGAACCCTGGGAAAGTAATTTCAACTGCCTTTCAGCAAATATGTAACAATCAAAATTGAAAGCATCTGGATTTTTATGGCATCATAAATAAATGATTAGTTGAGATAAACTTAACTAGTGCGGTAAGGAATGTTGCTGTTTAGAGTAATCTCAACTTTCTAAATGTATTTGCTCCACTCTGATTTAAGAGCCTTGCAACTTCAAAAAAATAAATAAATAAGAAAACAAGAGCTTTTGCTCCTGAAAGAAATTACTTATTGATCCATTACCAATTACACACTTACCCTCAGAAAAGTTTCTACAATGATCATTCTCAAATCATAAGGGGCAATGTTACTGAATTTACTCAAACCACTGTTGTTTGTTTTATGGTCAGAGGGTTTTAGTCTATAAGAATGGGTGTTCTCTTTTTCTTCCAAATCTGATCAAATGTGGGTTTAAGAGTCCCCCCATACATAATGGATTGACTTTCTAGGTGTCTGTACCAACCTAGTACCTTCCACAGTTCCTTTACTTGCCATGAATTTATGACAGCTGTTCTGTGAAGGCCTCCTTCTTTCTCTATCTCCCTCTTGGTTTTGCCTGGCTATTCACTGTAGATTCATTATTTGTCTCTATACATTCTCCCTCTTGGATTTGCTATCTTCAAACTTCCCCTTGATTTGAGAGCCAGTACTTGACTGGGAAATGAAAAATGTATATTGGTTCCCAGGGCTTACTAAACACCCTTGTTGGTCAGCCCTACTCCTCCTATATCAATTGCTAGTATCTGTCTTAGTCCAAACCTGGCTAACTAAAACTTATCTCCCTCCCTTTTTCCTCATTGCATGTAAGTGGTGATCAGCCATTAATGACCTAGCAAGTTGCCTATATGGAAATAAATCACTTCTTAACATATTTCAACATACAAACTAAATTAACACAAGGCCAGTGTTGTGGGTTTTTTTGTTTTTGTTTTTGTTTTTGTTACGCATTTTATACTATTGAAGTTACCTCTAACTCCTATAATGTTGGCTACATAGAAGAGGAACACAAAGAGGAGTTAGATATTTTAAAAAGCAAAGGGAGGGTAAGAAGGGAGGGAGGAAGGGAGGGAGGATGTAAGAAAGGAGGAAGAAAGGAAAGGAAAGGAAAGGAAAGGAAAGGAAAGGAAAGGAAAGGAAAGGAAAATTAAGTGTCTGAGTACTAGAGTTGATACCAGTGGGTGATAGAAATATTTTTTTTTTTTTTTAACGTTTATTTATTTTTTTGGGACAGAGAGAGACAGAGCATGAACGGGGGAGGGGCAGAGAGAGAGGGAGACACAGAATCAGAAACAGGCTCCAGGCTCTGAGCCATCAGCCCAGAGCCCGACGCGGGGCTCGAACTCACGGACCGCGAGATCGTGACCTGGCTGAAGTCGGCCGCTTAACCGACTGCGCCACCCAGGCGCCCCTAGAAATATTCTTAAATAATGTTAGATTTGAGAATGTTCAGACCATATTTTGTTACATTATTTAGGTACCTTTAAATCTATCCCAATTTTCTCTGAATCACTTATTCTGCTTCTTTCACGGTTAGAAGTTTCAAAGGAAAACAAGATTTGTAGGATTATAGTTTGTTTACTATTGTTGTTTGATTTTTGTTTATGAACATTACTGACTTAAAAATTAACCTGACTGATATCATAGATGATATGTTTTATCTGTAAATGTTAATTATTATCCATTAAAATGCTAGAAAAACTTCTGTAAACCTTCAAGATCAGCCAAACATAAACTCTGTGCTAATCTTTAAAAATTGTATTTCTACCTTTAATTAATAAGTTAATCAGTTAGCTGGAAAGTTGATTGTACTCCTCACAAGGGACTCCAGTCTTGCTGAAATGTGCAATGCCATTTCAGTTAGATAACTTTTAAAGTATGACTGGCATATAATTTCGATGAAGATGTAAATATTTGACATCATCCCATTTCATTACGTTGATTATTTGGGTTTTTACTTGAAAATATAATCATATTTGAATTTTGATTAATTGTACCCTTAAAGTTATAACAACTTGGAATAAAATGTTTTTTGAGTCAGGTAACCTTGTTTTTAAGATATTTTAAATAATATTAATATTTCTGCTACCACTGTTATGCTCAAAGCCATATGATGTTGCTATTGAAACTTTTAAGGTTTTAGGAGGGGATGAGGGCAAGATACACTCATGAAGTAAGGAACAGTTAATTAGCATATAGCCTAGAATACTAGCACTTGATAAATATTTTCTGAAATAATAAATGAATTAATGAATTATATATTGAAAATATGATGGCTTAGGTTAAGAAGACAGCTTTTCATTAGTCAACATGAAGCCAAAGATGCGGTGTAGTTTTTATGTAACGCAGAAAGTCATTGAACTACTTAGTTATAACAGAAAAAAATGCAGCACTTGATATGCAATAGCTATATTATCGAAAAGTTGCATATTTTTATTGATTTGTTTTTTGAATCTTCAAGTAAGAATTGATTATGGTAGTTGGTTGTTTAGAGGAAATGTGTGGTGGGAATTTTTGTTGGATGAATGATTGTCTCTCTTTAGTAATTATCTCATTTATTATAACTCATTTTTATCATGAATTGTTCTCTGATTGTTTCATATCTGCCCATTACTTTCCAAAAAAAGATAAACTGTCTCATGTCAGAGAACACAACTTGATAATAATGATGGTTAATAAGAAACATAGCGTAATCTAGAATTGGGGCTTTTCAACATTCATTTTACTACATGCTAGCAGCCTATCCAGAAATATTTTCTGAGCAACTAGTATGGCCCAGGTCCATGTTAGGCTCCATGGATACAAAAATAAATTATCTCACCACTTAGTAATCATCTCAATGAACAATTGTTGAATGGATGAATGAATGAGCCAAATGGGATCATTGTCACCAGATAGCTTAGGTTATTTACAGCAAACATATTTTGTCCCAATGTGACTCCATTTGGTTCATCTCAGTTTTTTCCTCTTTCAGCTTCAACTTTCTTATCTGTATAATATTTGTAAGAATATAAACAGATGATTGGTTTTTAGGATAAAGAATATAAAGAAGACACTTCTAAGCTGTAAAGTGTTATACACATTTAAGTTAGTAGTGTTAAAGATTATTTAATCAATATTGAGTAAAATAATTATTAGAAACAATCAACAAAAAAGTTAAATTCATTAAAAAATTAATTTATAAGGCATATCTAGAAATTTTACCAGTGTTTTCACTCTAGAGGAAGCATCTCATATATGTCAGTCTGGCAACATTCATTACAGATTACTTAACCCCTCTTTGACTTACAGGAGAAAGCCAGTGCAAATGTGTGCTCACTCACTGCCATGAATATTAACGTGTACATTGGTTCTGACCAGGGAAATGTGTGGAGGGTGGTAGAAAGGAAGAGTGAAGAGTATTCTTTGAAAGTCTTTCATCTTGGGAGCATGAAAGAGCATTGCAAATTTGATTAGTGAATTGTTGTACATATTTGCCGTAAGTGTTTCTTCTTTGTACTTTGCTGGGTTGGAAGCCTTATTTTTGAAACTAAGTTATTAATTGATTTTGATTTAGAAATACACCTTTTGATCAGTAGTT